AGATAAGTCTTGTTTCGGCTTCTCTGGTGTATGAAACATGAAGATATGCAAAAAGTACACCATTCTAAGCAATTTACAGACAAAACTCTTATTTTATTTATATAGATATAAATATACCTGGGTATGCTTTTAGAAATTGCCAACACCTAGGAATGACAGATTAGTGGCATAAGTAATTAATCGTTATATAAAACACACTTAAAATATTCTGTTTTTCAATATTTGTATTTATTAATCACTATTTCTATCATGTACAAAAATCTCCACGACAAATAAATTTGATTTGTAGTTGATTTCTTAAAAAAATAAAATAAAACATTTTAGCACATTTGAAATCGAATGACACGTTTGGAGTCGCTGTGATTTTTGTTATAGCGGCCACCGAGGACGTGGCTAAGGTGATTTTTAACATGGCAGCGCCCACCGACTGGGCTTCCACGCAAGCTGAATGTAATTTTGAGCATATACCTACGAATGAAAATTTGGAAGATGTTTCAGCCATTAACAGTAATCAAGGTCTTGATGAAATACAAAGGAATTATAAAGAAAGCTGGGGGTTTGACCTTCGAGATCTTTACAAATTAGCGACAATATTCTTTCGAGGTAAGTTCACACAGTCTCTGACGCAGAAATTGTCACTGTCAGTATTACTATTAGTGTTACTAGTTGTGGAACTGTAAGTTGAGTTGTAACTATACAAAAAGGCATACGAAATTTAAGAACCTAGATGCAACGGACACACTTTTTTTATAAAGTTAAACTGAAAAATTATTGAAAATTAGAAGTTACGATTAATATAGGTGGTGTACTTGTATTTGTAAGAATAAGAGAAGAGCTGACGCCTCATTATTACTATTAATATTATTAGACTATGCGTAGACTAGAGACTTACAGCTAGATTACCCAATAATGTGTTGCATAATATTAGGCCTCAAAAGTAACTAAAATAAAAATTTTGACTAATTTTAATGATTTTTGTGGAGACTTTAATATGGCCTTAACTTAAGTAACACTGTGCAGAGTACAGTGCTGAAATATGTGTATGCAAATCAATTTAGATTTTAAGTTGTAACTATAATTTTCACTTAAGACTACGTTTTTAGGATAATAAATTTTACAGTCATTAAGCACGTCTATGGTGGATGTGAATACTACTTATTTACAAAGTTAAAGCATGTTTCAAGTTTTACATTATATAGGCTGTTCACCATTAAAGTAGACTATATTTGCAAATAATATTTTACATGTACATTTAAAATTGGATATGTATCTCTATCTCATGGCTTAAGCAAGTGCTTGAAATCTTCTGCTGGACAATTTAGATCATTAGTGTGAGAATTTATAATACACAGTATCAACCAAGTAAGTGTATAGTAATAGTAAATATTGAATTTCTATTATGTAGTTGCTAGAATGTAGGTAAATAAAACATCTTGCACATAATGAAGATAGATTTCTTATTATACACAAAATTTGTAAACAGAATAAGAAAGTATACCATACATTTCACACACAGCCGGTGATATTATTCAGCAGAGCATTTCAAGTGACTCATTACTTTGAGATATAGGTACATGTTATGATGGTAAAAATAAAACTTTGTACCATGGCCTACTTGTTAGACTATTGATGTAGGTTTGTGCAAGCTTTAGATAAGGAACTTATCTAGTTTTTAATATTCATGCTTGATCTCTTGTACTTTGATTATCCCAAAAATGCTTGCTTACGAATTATAGAAAAAAACTTTATACATTTGAATATAATATTTGTATTGGAAGAACTTGTGCTAACTTTGAAACCATAATAATTTAAAAGCAAGTCATCAGTATGTGTGTGTGTGTCATAATATTTATTTTAATGTATTTGATCATTGTTTTTTAGAAGAAAGAAGTAGTGTTTAGCTAATGATGTATATATACATTTTAACTATAGTAATATAATGGTAGCAGTAATGATCCAGAATGGTTTAAAATATTTCTTGAAAGGTGAAACCTGAGACTGGGAGAGATTGAAACAAAATTCTGTTTTGTGGGCAGATATTTGAACCAGTAATTCTTAGATTACTAAACATAGAAGTAGGCAGGACTCTTTGGGTTTTTCATTTGACTTGCAGAACCCAGTTTCCAATTATTGCTTAGTTGGTTAAAGGATCTTTCCAGCAAACATTCATGAGCTCCAATCCCAACTAGACTCAGTTTCACTTCTTTGTAACAAGTTTCCCTACAAACATTTGTACTATTAATAAATTTACCTTATAGTTACAAATACTCATTGTTTGTGACTCCTATAAATGTATGTGTATTTTAGTAATTATTTCAAATGCTGTACAAGTATATATATATATATATATATATATATGTGTGTGAGTAAACCATATACATGTATCTGAGTAGTTCATTGTTGATGTTTACACTTTATAGGCAAATTGGCTATTTGCAGTATATTTTTTTATCCTGTACAATATTTTGTTTTCTAAGTATCACTTAATATGTTAAGTATGCTATGAAAATTTAAAAATCTGAGCCTGTAGCACATCTGTAATGTTTATAATTAAGTTATTATTTGTTATGTGATTTTAATTTTTAAAGAGTTTTTTTGTGTGTTTTCTTGAGTAATGTATCAATATATTGTTTCTTTTTCCAGATCTTGAGCTTACATATTTGTGGGAGCACTTTAAAAACTTTTGTATCTTATTTGAATGTAAATAGTTCATGTTCTAGTATCAATGAAACAGTGTACATTGACGTATGAGCTCTTTAACAGTGCATTTTTTAAAATATATATATATATTTTTTTATACAGATGCACTTAAGCTATTTGTTCTTAACTTATTGTAAACTATTGAAGCTGTTTTGTTTGTAATTAAAGATTTGCAAGATGGTTCTAAAAATGTTTTCCCAATTAGAGTTTAATAAATTATTCAAGGCTTTTACGTACTAAGAGTAAAAAACACAAAAACTGACATTTTTGGCACAATGAAAGATAAAATCATTATTATTAGTTACAATTAACTAGTTCCGGTAGCACATGTACCATTATCAAGGCTAATGACAAGAGCTGTAGCCCTGATGATGGTAAATGTGTTACTGAAACTAGTCAGCTGAAACTAATACTAAAGATTTAATCTTTCATTGTGCCAAAAAAACCTAAGTTTTGTGTTTTTACTCTTAATATATTAGCACAATGTGCCTGAAAAGAAATTACTTTTATGTTATCTTGATGCAGAGTTATTCTCTTCACATTGTTATGTCATTGTAATTTTGTACACTTGTTTTTTGTTTTTTTTCAGTTACTGGCATTCATGCAGCACAAAACTCTTGATAAAAGGCATTTGTTAAAATATTTGAATTAAATAAAGTTAATTTTTCCAGCATTGTATTACTTGTAATTTCTTGAAATTCAATTAAATTTGTTATTTCTAA